CCATTCGCCCCCCGCCCCCGCTCACCGCGGAGGGACCCGCGCGACGCGGCCCAGCCCGGCCCCGCCGTTACCTCCGCGGCCTCCCGCACTCCCCCACGATCGCCGCAGCCCTCTGACGCTTCCTGCAGCCGACAGGACCCCGCGTCTCCCTGGTGCTGGTGCTGCTGCTGCCGCCGCCGCCGCCCCACCAAGCCGCTGGCGTCTTCCGGAGGCGCCTCATCCTCCCCCGCCGTCACCTCCCGCTTCCGTTTGCTGGCGGGGGCGTGGGGCGCGGGCTCGGCGCGCAGGAGGCAGCGGGGCACGAAGCGCTTGCAGGGCACGTGACACACCAACGGCTCCGCGCGGCGTTTGGCCATAGAGTGGGGGGAGGCTCCGCGAGCACACGCGCGTGGCGATGCCAGAGGGGAGGGGGTGTCGCACGCATGCGCCTCCCGTAGCGCTCCCTCGGGCCTGTTGTGGGCCCCGCCCACCCCCAGGCGCACCAATAGCCGCTTGTCGAAGCCAGGGCAAAAGGCGAGCACCGCCCCCTCAGCCCGTGAAGCGCATGCGCACGTCGCTCCGGGCTCGCGCGCGGGCAAGCACCTGTAGTCCGCCGGGCCGGGCTAAGGTACGGGCAGAGGGGGAGGGGGCCGGGCGCGCCCTGCTGCTGCTCCGTCGGAGGCGTCTCCGTGAGCATGGAGCTGTGCCCAAGCCGCAGCTGCGGCTCGGCCGAACCGGCCGCCGGGGCGGGGGCTGTCCTCTCTCCCGCCCCCTCGCTTGTGCACCAGCCCCTGGGCCCGGTCTGCCGCGGGGCTCCCTCTCCTCCACTCGGCTACTCCCCGCCGCGTGCAAGCTGCCGCGGTGCTATAGCCGGCAACCCGTGGAAACCTGCGAATACAAGGAAACGCCTCAGACAGCCCAGCCGCAAACTCCTTGCATCGAGCCACTCCCCACCCCCCTTCACTTCCCTGCCAGGATAACGCACCTCTGCAGGTGCTGCATAACCCCGCATCCCATTCACCCATGCCAAGGGCGGCGTGCAAGATCCTTTTTTTTTTTGCATGCCAAAAGAAATAACCCTCAAGAAAAGAAAAAAAGAGGAAATAAAATTGTGGGGGGAGTGAAGGATCTGTTAATCTCGGTGGCTCAAAGTCACCGTCAACTAGTGGCTGAGTTAGAGACCACAGGGCTTGATGAATAGCTCTGCTAAACTGGTGATAGGGGCTCTGTGCCTCTCCCCCTTCCCACCTTTTAATTTTCTCTCTCTCCCGTTAGGGAAATTGGAGGGCCAAGGAGATCATGCCATTGTGCCTAGAACATTCCTTTACATTTTGGAATGGATTAGCATCAGCTTTCTAAACCTATAGGCAGTATATAGCAGTCAAACGAATCTACACACACTCTCCCTCTCTAGTATATTAGTACAGTATGCACGCGCGCGCGCGCGCGCACACACACCCACACACACACAGAGTATATACTTAAATATACACAGGAGAAATATACAGTAAAAATGTATTAACCAGCACAAGTGGGGTAAAGGGGGAGGGGGGAGGATCTAAAAGTTCTGGTTATCCAAGACAGGGTTTTCAACCTTCTTGAAAACCCCTGCGGGGTGGTGGGGTGTTGTGAGAGCTCCTCCCATCCCAGCCAGCCAGAAATTCCAGTTAATAGAGTATTCCAGATAGTAGAATGCTGGTTAACACAGGTTTTATTGTATATAGTCATAGATAAAATACTGCCTATAAAAGTTTTGGAAGCATCAATTCCAAAATGTGAAAGGCATCAAACCATATATGAAAACCATCAAAAACAGTGCCAAGCTATAGCCAGACTGGCCTAGTAGCAGTTTATTTTCTTCAAATGAGGGGCCAACAAAACACATGGAAAGTCCTATCAATTTGAGAGTCTGGAGTAAAGGGGAAATTAAAAATTATTACTTGTCACTGCTCAGGATAACAAAGAGGTTACAGAAATTTGGAAATCAATCTTTGGCAAGACCCAAACCAGCATTTTTATCCTATTAAACGATTAATACTAATCACACCAATCCATATGTAAAGATTTGAAAAGTAGTTAGTTTGTGCAATTCGTGCTTTTCAGCCCATGGGAACAGTTATACACAGCCAGCTCTGGGAGCTCCTGAACACTCTGCAAGTCCCCAGAGCTGGCATGGCAAGCAGCCCCAGTCACAAACTTTGGAAGCCTTGGGATTGCTGGCTTCAGTGCAGTGAGCCTCAACAGACCATTCCAGGGCCATGGACCCTGGAGGCCAAGATTCCCCTGCATCTCACCAGGAAGCCAAGGAGGTTTCCCCACTAAAGCCTTCCTACAGCTCAGTATGAGTTCATGATAGGTTCCACAAAACATTGTGTTCAATAAGTCAGCATTTTCCAATTCCTGACCAGCTCTATGCTACTAATTGATATTTATACGGCTTCACACAGTACAAAAAAAATTAAAATCAGCAGACAGCATAATATCAGAAGGAACTAGGTTATCTAGGCAGCTGTCTACTGAGTTGGGGGGAGGGGGGAAGGAGATTATGATTTTAAATCAAAATTTACTACAAGGAGTCAAGCTAATAAAATGTAATCCATTATTCATTCTGCAAACTTTAATATTTCAAGAAAAATCAAGTTATTATACACATTAAAAATAGAGGAAAAATCATGCAGACACATGAAGTTTCCAATTCAGTTCTTTGTAACTGATTTTAGAATGAACTACATATAAATAAAAATACAGGACACTACATTTGTCAAACTTACTCCATATAAAGAAATGTTACATAGCAGATTATGCAGCGTCTCATTTTTATAATTTTACACACTCAATACCACATACAACTCAATAATGACCTAAGTTGTCCTGGTTTCAGCTGATCATTATACACATTTTCCCTGTGAATACAACATTGAGAAAGAGAAGAATTAAGACACTCTGAATAATACACAATTATCCCTGTCCATTAATGTACAAAAGATCATCTTAAAAATTAGTACATTTGAATAGAGATGGAGGATCACCAATTCATATGATTTATCTGGAAGATAACATTTCCTCCAACTCTCAATATAACTCCTATATTTCTGAAAGGAAAGTTTATGGAAACTTGTATTTGAATTGATATTCCCTAAATTGAAAGTAAAAGGGCATACTGTTGTATATCTAACAGGTATTTAGAATGAAGAACACTGATGTTTCCCAGAAGGGGCTTAGTGTCAAATGTGCCATTTTTCAGTCGGGGGAATGGAAAAACAATACTGAGAAAGAGAAAAAATTCTTGTGTATCAGTCACTAGGGTAGTACAAATTTACACACGTAAAAATGGGAATACCTCTTTTACAGGAGAAATGCCCACTGAATAAAAAGAAAGAGACCAGGCAGAACAGGCAATATTACACAACTAAGTGTTCAGAAACTTTATGATCAGTATTTACCCTGACCATGCCTTATTTCAAGGGATTTTAAAATATTAGTAGCATTTTATTGAAATGTATCTTTCTTCTATGAGAAGTTCATAGTAAAAGCATTAGAGCAGATTGTACCACAAGGGAATGAAAGCTACAGGAAACCATCTGTTGCTTTATAAAATCAGAAAGTTTCTGTTTCATTGAAAGGCAGTACAAATCAGGTTTCAATAAACGTTACTTGTGGCTGGGCAAATTTTAGCCTTTTTGTTAGTTTGTTTTAAGGCAAAAAAAATGTCCTTAATACTTTTTTTAGTAAAAACAGAAAGTCCAGGCTCTGGACAAATAAACTTTTACAGACAATGTTGGTCTAATACTTCTCATTGGCAGGTATCCTGAGTTTAAACTATGTCTATAGGCTTTCTGCTTCTAGATAGTATTTATGTAATAATAATAATAATAAAAATAGAATAAATCCACAAAACAAAACGAAAAAAGCATAACTTAAAATTCCCAGGTAAATTAAAGCAAATCCAGAGGCACAATATACTTGCCTTACTGAAAAAAAGATAAAGCTAGAAATGGCCTTACAAAAGATGCAGCCAAGCAAATTCCAGGAGAAGGGGGTCACAGTTAGATGAAAGCAATGGAGTTTAACAGTACCATAACATGGGGTGAGTTAGTGGGGCATCTGACCCAGGTGCCACCTAAGGGGAAGAGCACCTCCTGTACCCCACTGGGTTTACACTTCCCAGCTGTACATTGCAGCAGCATGGAGCATCTTGTGTCATAGAAAGCAAGTGTTCTGAGAATCCTAGTTTTAAAATATCAGCAATGACATTTGCTGCTGCTGGGGGAAGAACTGATCCCAGTTTCGCCACAAAAATCAGCAGATTTTTGCATCTCGACATGGGCTTTGGCAGCAAAAATAAAGGAGTAAAAGTTTCCTCCACTGCCATTCTGGAAATCTGTCATTCCCAGACCACCTTGCACATCATCCATGATGCTGCTTGCTGTTGTTTCTCTGTACTGCCTAGTGGGAAAAAGAATAAGAGGACTGCTCTGGGCACACTTTTCTCATATTATGCTTCTGGAGTTAAAAAAAAAAAAAAAAATCACATTATAATCCAGTGCCATTAGCAAGAAACCCACTGAAAAAGCCTCAGTTCCCCATAATGCCTTTTTCATTTTAAATGATTTTTAAAAATGGATGACAATGTTGCTAAGTTAATGATGTCAATGTCAAGAAAACTAAGTAGCTAATTTGATTCTTCTAAACACAGGATATTTTTTAATATTTTTTTCACTGAAAATATATGTATAACTTCAAAAGTGACAGAAGCTTTCCTGTATAAAATTACCAGGCAACTTAACATAAAGAAATAACAAAATTAGAGGTAGATTTAGTGTAGCATGGGTAAATTGCCTTAAAGTTCCAGTCAAGTATCTAACAACTGACCTATAAATGTTGAATAGATATAGAAGCTCTTACTAAAAATGCATGATTTATACAGTTTTTTCCATGTTCATATTAATGGTAACAGTGGCACAGCTGTCTCAATTATGTTCAACTGCTTTCCTTAAAAAAGGAACATTTTCTGTTGTTTAATGATCTCTAACAAAAAAATATTGCTTCAAAAATATTGGCTTAACGAACAGATAAATTAAACTAATGAACTTCAAGTGGGCCAAATGCCTGACACATCAGGGCAGGTCTTCTGGCTTGAGGCTTATGTACTAGGGCTCCATTGTGACAAGCTACTTTAACCAATCAGTATTTTAAATTGGCTATAGATTAGTTGCTTTGAACAGACTGGTGAACCTAAGGGCTGAGAAAATTACAGCTCCGAAACTATTCTATATTATTTATTTCCTCAGTCCTACAGAAAATAGTTTCAAGGTTTATAAAGGTCACTATGAACTGCTTTCACAAAGCATTTTACCACTTTTCAACAACTCGACTTCATACCTTTTAAAAATAAAAGATTGCTTGTTTAGAAATGCTTCTCTCAGAGTGGCAGAGTTTGTACTATGCAAACTTCTTGATTATTTGTAAATCAACAGGAAAAAAAATGAAAGCCATTGGAATTTTATGAAAGACAACAGACAGAATATATAAAGTCAATCTTGTATGGGCAGACTCATGGCAGATGCATTGAAACCATAGGAGGTTTTTATGACTTCTGATTTCTAAAGCACAAAGACAGTGTATTGTGAACATTTTCCCCTCCATTTTCACTACTGCAGTACAAATATGCATGGCATAGTACGTCAGGATAGCAATACAGATTAAGAAAATAGACACTATCTAAATTATGTTAGGAATAAGAAGGCACCACTGATTTGAGGTTGTGTCCAGCCATTACCCACAGTCCATTTTGTCAATTCTAGCACTAACTCCAACATTTTTTCCAAAGAATCTCTTTGAAACACTGCTATTCTGGTTTCCTAACTACAAACAACACACATTCATAGTAGTATTTCATCATGGAGAGTTCATTCACAGTGTACGTGGACAAAACAGATTCTCTCTCTACCTGAAAATAAAAATTCAAAAGTTACAGGACATTTTTCTGTGACACAGTAGTTTCTCCAACAATTCAATTCCAAAGTATTTTTCCTCTAAAGAGGCATTATTACTGGACATTTCCTATCAGGGGTCCTTGGCCCCTTAATACATACAAAATGATCACAACTAGCAGCAAGATTATAAAAATATAAGTATATAGAATATACTAGTCTGTATTATTAAAATAATTACACTTAAGTAGTGCGAGTTTTGGCTATAGCCCACCTCCTTGAATGTTACTAGGAAACTGCAATTTATTCTTACCTCTATATGGAATCCATATTGTAATATAACATTTTTTATATCCTCATAACTCAACTCTATAGAAAGTTCATTTGCCAAATTTTCGAAGTGATAAAGGAGAGGACCTAAGGTACAAAATCAGAAGTTTCAATACCACCAAGTTTCATTATATTTCATGAGTACATTTTTATTAGGTCTTTTAAATAAAGGTAAAACTGAACAGCACTTATATTAAAGTATGCAATCAACTAAGTGTACAATTTCCTGATGTCTTTATAGGAACTGACAATGATATCTAAAATCAAGGTTGACTAACACCTTTCTATTATAAACCCATTTTACCTGTTTTGAGCTTTACCAAGTTAGCAATTTTTTAAAATTATGTTTTGGCAAAAAACTGTTCAATTATTCTGTTAGCAAAGTTTGGGAAATAGACTCTTTTGCCCTTATTAAATTCATAGATTTCATAGACATTAGGGCTGGAAGGGACCTCAGAAGATCATCGAGTCCAGCCCCCTCCCCAAAGGGCAGAAAGTCAGCTGGGGTCACAGGATCCCAGCAAGATAAGCATCCAATTTGCTCTTGAAGGTGTTCAATGTAGGTGCTTGAACCACCTCCGATGGCAGACTGTTCCAGACCTTGGGGACTCGGACAGTAAAGAAATTCTTCCTTATGTCCAGCCTGAAACGGTCTTGCAGTAGTTTATGACCGTTCGACCTCGTCATCCCTTGGGGCGCTCTGGTGAACAAATGTTCCCCCAGATACTGGTGGTCACCCCT